TAAAAGTTTTGATGGGAGCTGCTTAATTATTTGGTATGAGGTGAGGTCAAGCCCGGGGATCGGTCCCTTTTCCCGGTTTGTTAATACATGCAGCAGTTCCTCCACTGTGTACGGGTGGTTTATTTCAAGTTTGTCCTCTTTTGGTAATTTGGAGAATTTGGAGAATTTTGGTTGTTTGCTTTCTGTTTTGGGTTTGTTGAATTATTGATGTTTGATGTTTCTTTGCATGTTGTTTACGGTACGCTGTGCTGTCATCCGTAGGGTGGTTTATTTCGTCGCAGATATTTTTGCAGTTTCTGATTTGTTTTGTTTTGACTAGGTTTTGTACTTAGTGAAATAGTTGGTGAGCTATTTGTGAATGTGAGTGATTTCGTTTGGCTTTGTTGAATCAGCGTTTGCTTTTTTCCTAGCATTATTTATTCCCTCGGCCCTCTGAGGGACCTTGGGTTTACCTATTTTTGGTATTTAAAAGCGTAAGAAGTGCGATCGTCCAAGTACTTATATTAGCAAGCACTACACCACACGCAGGTGTCTCTTGTAAACATACCTACAAAATACCTATAAATCCACCTTCGGTCAAACATGCAAAAAACTTGACTGTTCATGACACTAGAGTATTGCTTTCACTTTGGTTATCTAAAGGAATATAGGACATAATTCGATTATAGGTGCCCAAATGTAAGCAGGGGAGACAATTTTCTAGTCACCACTAAAAAATAAAAAATGTAATGGGAATAAACAAATTGGGAAGAGCGCTTGCGCATTCCCCAACACTCATGAAGTGAAGACCAGTCCACATTTGGCATGATCAGGTGTGTGTAACAAATGAGAGAGGCATATGGAGATGATAGGAGATTTTACTTGCGCTTTTCGACATTTTTCGTATTTCGCACACGGGTAACAAACGACAGACTATCTCTTTGAAGATTGTTCGTGCACTAAGGGAGGGTCTGGGTGTATTGTGTTTTGGTTTTGTATGTTTCTATGGTTTTTAGATGATAATTTAATTTTGCGGGTAATTATATGCGGCCTAGGAGGCTTTGATGGTTTGTGTAACGTTAAGCGGGTTTAGGAGATTCAACTGCAGTCATTACAGCGGCTCTGTCGCTAGCTTGAATCCTCATCCATGATATTTTGTAATCTGCACTAGTTAAACGAACAATAATACTATTAATGAATGAGGACAAATAAGTAACGCATTGTAGATACAACGAAATGCGACAATGATTATCAAAATATAATCTACAATGCCCTGACTGGACGTTTTACGAAACAAACAGGAGAATCAAATTGTTAAAAGTCATCGGCAAGAAGCCGTAGTAAAATGCCATTACGAGTTGAACTGTCTTCTTCTGTACTCTTTCAGTTTCTGCTAGGCTTTACAGTTAACATGTTTCTTGCATTTAACTGGTATATTTCTGTACACTTTCGAAATCATAAAATCAAAGTGAAAGCACATATATACTTATTGAAGTAGATTAAAACGGAGTAACCGTCGAGGTCAATTATAACCATCCGTTTAGAACAAACCTTTCTTACTCTCAAGGTTTGGTACATAGCATGTTGAGGATTTACGGTAGATCACAGTTATAATGTGTTAAAAGTTTAGTTGTTATGCATTGTATTCTGCAGGGATTCATCTAAACAAGCTCTGAGGCCGATATTTGGCCCCAAGTCTGCAGCAAATGTCATTTGAAATTCCCAAATTGGAATGATATATTTCCCCATTCATATAGTAACTTATAACAATTAATGTCATAATGTTGTAGTATTTCACTGATGACAGGACAAATAAAAAAGAGGTTTTGATGCATTCAATGCAAAATGCAATACTTCTAAACTTGAGGAAATAATAACTTCCATAAAATCCCATTTTGAACAAAATAGTGATATTTTTCCCAGATGGCCAGCCATTCAGTTGTAGTGAGATCAGAGATAAGATGTGTACACCAGAGCTTAATTTCGAGAACGGAAGTGTCTACTTCCCAATGCGAAGGGTAGGTATTTTGATCAATGGAAAGTACAGTTGTTATGATAGATTTGGCCCCACAAGAATGCGTGATTTTCATACTGTAAATATATCGACATCCAATAATACATGGGTCAAGGTTCAACTCCTGTGTTGCTTTATGCATCCTCAGTGATCCAATAGTGAAGTGAGGGTAGGTGTAATTGCACAACGTTCGCGTTTCATTATAGATACAAGCTTAATGAAATATCTTCACAGTATTGTCTTGACAGATCTATTAATCTATTCCTTATTGTATTGTCGTTCTGACCTGATCTGTAATGGACGTGTTTTTTTTATGTAGCTGTAGTGAGCACTAAGATCTGATTTTACTGATATATCACGACTACTATTGTGATTCTGTAATAGTGAAACTTCTATAATTATATCATTGCCAACGGATGCATTTAAAATAAAGAAGTTAATTGAGATGTTTCTTTGTGAAAAGCAGGAGTTCCAAAATAAATGTCATAAGTTGTTTGTAAAGTATAACATGAGATATGCTAAATCGTTTTTACCAGACATTATTAAGCGCTGGAACAATTAGCCTGATGTCGTCATTGCAGAAAATGTTGGGGAATTTAAGAGGTTTTTAAAACAGAATAAAAATACAAATTTGTATATTAATCTAAATTATGGAAGTAGATTTTTGTCAGATTGTACATTCTCGCCTCAGACTTGGTTGTAGTGATCTTACTGTCAATGAAAGACAATGCAATTTGTTCTTGTGGATACGTATATGAAAATGCATCACACTATTTCTTATCCTGTCTCGTGTATAACGATCTGAGAAATAATTAATTCTTCGACTCTGATCTTAACACTATAATGAATGGCATTGCTAATTTTACAAAACTACTAATCCAGATATCTTAAAATCAGTACATTCATACATTCTATATTCCAAAAAGTTTAAGCTAACGTGATACTATAAATCCCGCATATATGTTAATCTTCTACTCATTACACTAAACTGTTGACCATGACCACTTGCTTTTGTTAACATATTTAGTTTATCATCATGTATTATTTTGTTTTATGCCTTCATGAATATAACTTGTATTGGAGAGGTATTAACATAAGCCTTCTTGGCTTGTTTGTCGATCCAGATTCATCGAATAAACACATGTTTAAATCATAACATTAACATTGGTGTTGAACTGCTTTGCAGAACTAGAACTGGGATTTGCTACACCAGAACAAAATGGTTGGCTTTGACACATTTGATTAGGATAGGGTGTAACAGTACTACAGTTAGAAAGGCAGGACAACATTGGGAAATAGTGACAGTTTTGTTTTAACGCCACTTTGCACAGTATTTCAGTCATGTCACTGCGTGTCAGATTAATGTGCAAAGTCCGAAGTGCTGCACGTATCAGACGTTTACCCCTTTCGTGAAACTCACGAGCACCGGTACTGAGCTGACAAACCTAGAAATATGAGGAACACATTCATGAATTTCCGCCGACACTGACAAATGTGATGTTATCATTCCTGGACAAGGAATTAACTGACAGACTGCTAATCTCACTGTAGGTGCGTGAAAATACATGAGTTCAACAAAGGAATTATTTTTGAAATTGAAAGAAAGAATACCTTATTAATATTATATATTAATATAAATGTGACCATCGTAATGTTTTAATGATAAACACCTTCATAATATAGAGTGAGTAAGTGAGAAAATTGGGTTTAACGCCGCTTTTAGCAATCATCAGGTAGAGGAATCAGACATGGAGTGACCCATTCATCATGTAGAGCAAACACAGATAGGGCGTAACACCTTCACCAGGCAGTGGAAGCAGACAGGAAGTAACGCATTCATCAGGTAGACGAAACACAGATACTAAGTAACATCTTCTTCATGTAGAAGAAACAGATATAGAATAACACCTTCATCAGGTAGAATAAACAGAAAAAATAACGCCTTCATTGTGTAGAGGAAACACAGACAGGGAGTAACACCATCAGCCTCATTAGGCAGAGGAAAGAGACTTGGAGTAACATCCTCATCAGGCAGAGGAAAGTGATAGTGAGTCACACCTTCATCATGTAGAGGAAAAAGACAGGGAATAACATCATCATGTAGAGGAAACACAGACAGGTAGTAGCACCTTCATCATGTAGAGGAAACAGATATGGAGTGACACATTCATCATGTAGAGGAAACAGACAGGGTGTAACACATTGATCAGGTGGAAGGAAGAGACTGGGAGTACCACCTTCTTCATGTGGAGGAAACATACTGTGGGTAACACCTTCTTCATGTAGAGGAAACACAGACGGGAGTAACATAGTCATTGGGGAGAGGAAACAGACTGGGAGTAACACCTTCATCAAGTAGAGGAAACACAGACATTGAGAAACAAAAACACACAATGCCATTTAGGAAGTGTTCAAATGTAACACATGTTATATTTACGATAACACTTTCTTAGTAAAGTACAGATTCTCGTAAATTGTGTTTATAGCATTTGTTACATTTGACTACTTTCTAAATGACATTGTGTGTTCATAGCTTTCGGCCATGGGACCCGAGCCAATTTACACTTGTCAAAGGGGTACACAGAGTACGTGATCTAGACTACCAGTTGTCGGACTTTCATTTTTTGTGGAAACCTCAGTGGCTGAGTGGGTTGACCGCTGCCTCATTCTGGCAGTGTGGGTTCGAATCCCGGACGGACCTCAACCCAAAAAGTACGAGAATCTGTACTTTACTAAGAAAGTGTTATCCAAAATATAACATGTGTTACATTGTGTAACACCTTTATCAGGTAGAGGAAACAGACTGGAAGTAACACCTTTATCAGGTAGAGGAAACAGGCGGAGTAACACCTTAATCATGTAAAGGAAACAGACAAGGGAGTTACACCTTCCTCATGTCGTGGAAACACAGACTGGCATGTTGGCACGTTAACCACTATTATGACGTCACTACGACATGATCATCTTCTTTGAACTGGGGCCCATGGCGAGATTAAGCAAATGCAGCTCGTATTTTACAATCTTTAATTCCCTTTAAACTATTAAACAATCCGTATTGTTTCCAGATTATATATGGTCTTTTATTTCTGCATATACACTCTCTTCATATCTGTGACTATGGGGAAGGAAGGTCCCACGTTGAGACTGCAGACTGTGTTAGTTTTGTTGTATGTGTATCCTTGACAGAACGGAGAAATCGAGCAGAACCTTGCACAGTCCAGGCCGCTCCGGGCAGACACCGCGCTCAGTGTTGGAGTGAGACCTGTGTCTACCTCTGAACTGGAGTCATGATAGTAGTTGGTAGCGTCTGTAACCAAATACGTAAACATAATCAATTTACCCACTTTTTATTACCGTGTATTGTGGTACCCATGGGACAAACTTAACAGCAAAATGATTGTGTTTACTATACCCTAAACAAACAGATATTAACGTTGCAAAGGAAATGGACATCTCAACAAATGTAAAATGGAATCCTTAACAGAATGATAAGTTGATAATTATATATACTAAACAACAAACGCCCCTGTGACATTGATTAAAATTTAATGCAAAGTTATGTTTTTTACCAAATCTGAAACAATTTCGGTTTGCAACAAATAAAAGACTCCTGTAAGTGTTCAAATGGTTTAATTTGCCATACTGACTTCAGAAAATGCGTGATTTCATATAAAAAACAAAACAACATGAACATGCCAAAATGTCAATTTACAAATCAGTAGCGTGTGTGCCCACCTCTGGTTTGCGATGCAAGCAATACATCTTTGTCTCATGGAATGGACCAGGCGTCGCACAAAGTCCTGTGGGATATCTGTCCATATCTGCTGGAGCATGTTTCGAAGTTCCTGGAGAGTCTGTGGAACACGTGGTTGACGTCGAAGGCGCCGATCCATCTCATCCCATATGTGCTCGATTGGTAAGAGATCAGGGGAGCGAGCCGGCCAGGGGATGACATTCACGTTGTTTTGTTGAAGAGAATCCTGAACAAGTCGAGCAATATGAGGCCGGACGTTGGCAAGTTGAAAGGTAATGCCTGGCCATGACGCAAACAACGGTAGAACAACAGGGCCGATGATCTCGTCGCGGTAGCGCTGTCCATTGAGATAGTCCTCTACCACTATCAAACGGGTCCTCTGTCTTGCTGTAATCCCACCCCATACCATAACGCTGCCGCCCCCGAACCGATCTTCGTCCATGACACAATGATTGACGTAACGTTCACCTCGACGTCGGTCAACTTTTGCATGGAATGCGTGCTTTTCTGTAGCAGTTACGTGTTTGTGACTTGATTCCATACATGTACTAGAATATTGAAAACCAAACTTTACTTGTTTGAAAAATACACTAAAATATTGGTGTCACAGGAACTTTTGTTGTTGAGTATATAAAACAGACTCACCAACACAAAGGGGGTAGATGTCCCTGCTGTCCGCCACCCACACGCCAGAAGCAGTGCACGCATGTCTCGCGCCGCCGCCGCCGCCTCCTATCCTCACAGACGTCAGGGCACAGTCGTACGTGATGGTATCTTCATAGACTCCCGTAGCGGATGATGCAACGTAATTCCTTATTACAGGGGCAGAACCACAGCTGACCGCTAAAGAAATGCATAGAAATATCTCGTGCTTACCGTTACATTGCACTTTAGTATTCTAAAATATACTGATGTAGAATATAATAAAATTCACGACGTGAATAAATCCGAATTCTTAGCGGATGAAAGAAACCTACCCTGGCACACAGGCGGTGTGCCCGTCTTATTACTGATGACCCAGCTACCATCCAGAATGCAGATCCTAAGTCCCTCACCTCCCCCTTCCCGGGTGTACCCGACGTTACAAGAGAACGTCACCTTGTCTCCGTACAGAGGACTGGGATTGGACGGCGAGGCGTGACTAATGCTTGGCAGGGCGGTACATACCACACCTGAAACATATGATCCTATTAGTAACGCACAGTACAAACAAGATGTTATAAAAGGCGTAATATTGTCAACAGCTATTGACAGCCTCGGGTCAACTCAAGCACCAACGTTTTAATTAATGCCGCACAGTCCCGAAATATTATGCGGAACAATTCAGTACGGTTGTTTGAGATGATTGATAACTTTTATATCTTACACAGAAGGAACTGAGTTATAGTAACATTTTGTTGTTGACATTAAATGATATCATATAGGTATATCCAAAAAAGGCCTGTTGAGCAACTCGTGTCCCTGTGACAAATCATTAAAAAAAAAAGGGGTATGAGACCCTCGGAAAATGGACAAACTGAGGAAGGTGCAGTCACTCCGAATGCCTGTGTTCAGTTTCCTAAATGGATGCTAGGTGTGAAGCCGATTTGAAAAGGAGAAAACACGCCTCAGAGATTCTGGTTGAAAATGTAAACACGAGGGAGAAAGCAGTCGCTGCACAGACTTGTTGAAAATGTAAAACCGCGAACCAAAGCCGAGGAATGTTTTATCCAAATTATAAACCGTCTAAAAGCAAGAAATATCATATAAAAATATCGGGATATCTTTTAGTGAAACAATACAGTGTGTACAGGTATAAAGGGAATTTGACCAAAACGTGCGAAAGAAAGACCACGTGCAGCATGCAGCACAAACTGAAGACATGACAAGAAAAAAATAAACTTTTCAACACCTTCCCCTGAGGCTCAGTCGGGAAAACAATGGGTTACAAAACTAAACACGATATGTGAGGTTGCAGGTTCGATTCCCGTAATCCATAATGGAAACATTGAACATTTGCAACACCAAGTACAAATTTTATCTCCTACTCTACTCAACAGGTCTTACAAGGAAAAAGTAAAGTTATTACGAGATAGAAAGATACCTAAAATAACATAGGTAAATGTGCCACAAGTGTCCACGGCTGCGCAGTAATATTACTGACATACTGCTGAAACCAGCATAAAACCCATCACGCTCATTAATGCCCAGTACATAAGAGAGATGAGTAAAGAGAGTAAAGCAAATACTGATGGGATCAGTTTTGTATCCCCCCCAAAGTAAGCTCACGGGCAATCTGACATTAAAAACAACATTACATAAACGTGTTCGTCGCGGCATCACTGACACTTTCTTTGCTAGCTATATATTGGAATAATGCTGAATAGCAAATATATAAATGAACTGAACAAATTGCAATACGGAAAACCGCCATGATATTATACTCTATAACACATTTCTCCAATTCCTACAATCATCGAATCATGTCTACCGCGAGTGGCCTCGAAAGAGAGATATCAGTTCGTGCTGTTTTATAGCAAACACCTGTTACTATGATGCTTCCATGCAGGTGTTACTGAATGTCGGTTCCATTCGGGTTCGACTATCAATGTGACAATGTTTGTTAAGCAATGTGACAGGAATAATAAATCTGGGGTAACAATCATAATTATATGTCATATGTCTTCATCCGATAAGACAATATCAAAGACTACATGATCACGTAGAGGAATGTGACCACATATACACATACATGTTCTTGAGACGTGAAGATTTGTTAAACGATTTATAAACCAAATACTAGAGTTAACGAATCCGTATTATGCCGATTTGGGTACCTATCAAGATATATATCGGCGACTAAAGGCTAGAGTAACTAGGTGACTGTACCGCTGAAATCCATCACAAACCCATGTACGTGACCTGCAACTCACCGACTCGGCGTTGGCAAGTGGTATAACACTTGATATTGACGGATGGGTCGTCACATCTTGCGGCAAACGCCAGACAAGCACAGTCTTGATCCATCGATACACCTGCCACGCAGACAGCATGTGTCAGAGAGAAACAATGTCAAACTGGGGACGGGTCAAGAGGATTTCACTCTTTTTACTGTCAAATATTCTAAAAAAGTGAGGGATATTTGAAAATAACAGATGATTACAGAGTGAGTGTTTGAGTTAATATTTAGAGTCACATCGGAAATATTTCAGCCATATCGTGACTTAAACAGATTATGCATTTATATTATATACGAACGAAAAACAATGTGTGAAACTGTACTTCATATAAACTTCAATAACAATACATCTATTCTGAAATTATATTATGCATATTTCAACACCTATTCATGACGATATCTTCTCGACTTTAAGGTCGTGATTCAGAATGTGCACGGACATGTTTATCCACGCGCACAATTTGTTTGTTGGCGTGTTATCTAGAGCATCTAATCTAATGTATGCTGCAAACATGAATGGCGCTCAACGGAGTTGCCAGATGTTTTAATTTTCACTGAAACAATATCATTAGACGTTATATTTATCTACAGCAAGTCAACATTCATGACTTGTCAGGGGGTCACGTCACGTCAACAATAGAACCATATTCGGTTGGTGCATAAACGGAATCGATACTAAACTGCTACATCAACATTTCGGATTCCATTCACAACCGGTTGAGGCAGCACAACATCCAGCACCGACGTCCAGCGACGCGCTCAATTTTGCTTCCACGTTAACTTCTTTACCCCCCGTCGTGCCATTTCATACAATAAATAGCTATGTACATTCAAAATGTTCAGTTAGTTCTATACTGAGTCAAATTAAAAACTTCACATTTTTAAAAGAAATCCCATATATGATATACAACGGACAAATGTATCAGAGAAGGTAATTTTTAATCATGAATGTCCAAAGAAGGATTTTAATTAACGGTGGTAACCGTAATTTGTTCCAAGCACCTACAGTATTCGGTAATAACAGAATAAGTCCCAAACACGAGAATCCGATGGCACACAAGTCCAGTAGCGTGTATTGCCACCATGTGCGTTGACAACTGCCACACAACGCCTGCGCGCGCATGGACCTTGTGATACTTGTGAACACATGATTGGGAAGACGACACCATTGTTGCTGCAAAATGGTGCCAAGATCTTGCAAATTCTGTGGTTGGTTCTGGAGAGTGCGCAGACTACTGCCAAGAGCATCCCAGACGTGTTCGATGGGATTGAGATCGGGAGACCTTGACGGCCAGTCCATGAAGTTGACTCCCGCATTCTGAAGCAAATTCCTTGTCAAAACTGGCTGTGTGGGGTCTGGCATTGTCGTGTTGGAAGATCAAACCGGGTCCATGTGCTGCCATTAAAGGAAGAAGTTCTGGTGCCAGTACCTGGTCGCGGTAAGCAGCAGCGTTGAGGATGCCAAGAAGCCTGGAACGTGCATTGCCACAGAAAGCACCCCACACCATGACACTTCCGCCTCGAAATCTGTCAACTTCCTGTACACAACACTGGGCGTAACTGGGCGCCTCCACACCCTCGCCCTACCATCAGCAAATCGAAGATTAAATCGGGATTCATCACTGAAGACGACTTGATTCCAATTCCTCTGAGTCCATCGTAAGTGTCGCTGTGCCCACAATTGACGTTGACGTCTGTATAGTTGAGTCAGAATCGGCCCGCAGTATGGCCGTCGTGCTTGAAGGTGAGCAGTTCGCAGACGGTTTCGAACAGTTTGCGCACTCAGTCTACCCCTAAACAGTTCATTTCTGGTTGATGTAGCCGTCAAAAATCGGTTACGGAGGTGACGTAAGACAATCTGACGATCCCCTGCATGTGACGTCACACGTGGTCGACCTCGCCGAGGGCGATCAGCGGTGGTACCCGTTTGCTGTAGACGCGTCTGTATATCATAAACAGTCCGTCGACTACAACCCATCGTCCTTGCGACTTCAGCTACGGACGTTCCCGTCTGCCACATGCCGATGGCACGTTCACGTTGCACATTTGAAAGGCGTGGCATGACAAATGGCCGTAAAGACTTTTGTTTTCTTGTGTTTTTCTTTTTTAGTTAATGACTGCTAACAAGTATGGCTGAAAACACGTGCGGTATTATGACCACGTGACCAGTTGCACGTGAAAAACCATTTTTGCCACTTTAGTGCTGTGCACATGATTTTGATCGATTCAACTGCAAAAAAACGGGTGTTATCTGAAGACAATACGTGGCCATTACTGTTTAAATACACAATAAGGGCCCACAATGATAACTGGTCAAAATGTTAAAATTTTAGGATTGTGAAGTGTTTAATTTGGTTAAGTATATTAACAAGCTGACAATTTAATGAGAACTTGTGTTAGTAAAAAGATTCTTTGTGGAAGGAACCTTGAAACAGTTATCCCTAGTGAAGGAAAAATCAACAATGTTAAGCAAGATCCCCAAATTTCTATAAATATTCATGTGCATATCGAGAATGGCCAATACGAAATCGTCGTAAATTTACCTCTTCTATACTGACAACTCAAGTATCTGTAACCGATAGTTTGATTCATTACATGTAATGTTTTCATGCCTTCTTGGTGTACCGTTTCTTTTGCATTGTAAAGGTGCTGGCAATTGCATTGTGGTGACAAATGCACGGTGGGCACGAGCGTTATCGTTTTGAAAGCGAAAACGTGGACCAGGCGCGTTTAGGCACAAATATTGATGTGTCGGTAGTACGGTGACAATATGCAGTGGCGTTTATGTTGTCTTTAGTTGACGTTCGCCTAACGTTCGTTAGGAAACCTTCATACACATCCATGAATGTGGACTAATCTGATCACATTACATCGGTAGTTCCAACAGTTTCTACGCTCTCAACACCATTGGCGTCTGGCTAGAATGTGTCAGTTTACTACCGGTAGTACGACACGTTGTTGTCGAGCATGCAAATTAGTTAAATTCAGACATTAACTAATCTGGTCAGTAACTTGACCTCCGATGGCCTTGCGGAAGTGAACACCGATTTGACTGGCTGTGTGTGCTGATTTCTTAAAAAGCCCGTTTTTTTATTAATAGATCCTGGACTTGTGCTGTTGACATTGTGAGCCAATCATTAATTTATTGTGTCCAAAACGTTTTCCAAATTCTGCAAATCACATACTGAGACACACTGAACGCATTGATAACATATCGCTGATAGCCTTTATAGACAACGCAATCCCATCTGATCGTAAATACGGCATTAAAGCAAGAGTAGAGAGTTACGTGTTACTGTGGACAATGAAAATCAACCCGCCTAATGACTAAACGCGATTTGACGACTTTTCACCTGCACGGAGAATTTGGTTCCGTTCTATCTTTGACAATCTTTTTTCAAAGATGATCTTTATTTACTTGTGAGAGTGGATGGTGCTCTGAATGGTCTACGCTACCGAGACGAGATCCTGCGGCGCCACGTTGTCCCTTTCATCAACGTCAATGGCGGCATCTTTCAGCAGGACAACGCCAGTTTCGACCCACGACCCTAGTTTCTGCGTCACAACAACGTGCCTACGCTACCATGGCCTGCCCGCTCGGCAGACTTGTCACTTATTGTAACAAGTAACAAGAGGAATACATATTAGAAATAGGATAAAATGGTATGATGAAGGTGAAAAACCAACAAGCTACTTTTGTACTTTGGAATCTAGAAATTATACAAGTAAACTCATAAACACTTTGATTGATAATAAAGGGGAAGAAATTACTGACGGGGACTTAATAATAAATGAACAAAGAAAATTTTATGAGAAGCTTTACTCATTACCAAAAGAAAATGATAGTGAAAATGCTGAGACACTCAAAAATGTAAAAACACCTAGTCTAAATGAAGACTTAAGGGTTAATTTAGAAGAAAAAATCACTTTAGATGAAATATCAAAGGCAGTAAAACAAATGAAAAATAACAAAAGCCCAGGAGTAGATGGCTTTCCAATAGAATTCTTTAAGTTTTTTTGGAAAGACTTAAAAATATGGGTTTTTAGATACATAAACGAAACTTTTGAAATTAAGGAAATGACATATACAATGAAAAGGGGAGTCATTATGTGTTTACCAAAGGGAAACAAAGACAGAAGATTTCTAAAAAACTGGCGTCCAATATCATTGCTGAATGCACTTTATAAAATAATTAGTACATGTATTGCAAATAGAATGAAAACAACTTTAGATCACCTAATTCATGATAATCAAACTGGCTTTATTCCTGGAAGATGTATTAGCGAAAACACAAGACTTTTGTATGACATTATGTTTGAATGTAAAAGACTAAATAGACCAGGAATGTTGCTGCTGATTGATTTTGAGAAAGCGTTTGACACAATATCAAGACAGTTTATTTCCAGGGCATTAGAAAAGTATGGTTTTGGGCCTTATATGATAAAATAGATACACCTACTAACTAATAACGCATCCTCTTGTGTAATACAAAACGGTCATATGTCTTCTTTCTTTATTAATGAAAGAGGTTGCAGACAAGGAGACCCAATATCACCATATCTTTTTCTTTTTGCTGTGGAAATCTTAGGCTGTATGATAAGAGACAATAAAAACATTATAGGAATTGTATTGAATGAGAAAGAGTACAAATTAGGTCAGTATGCAGACGACACACAATTATTCTTAAACGGAGAGGCTGACTGCCTGTATGCAGCAATAAATATACTTGATTGTTTCTTTAAAATGTCTGGACTTAAAATAAATATTGATAAAACAAAAGCCATATGGATCGGGTCGAAAGCAGGGAGCTCAACAAATATTTGTGAAGACTTAAAGTTATGCTGGCATGTAGGCAATTTTGAAGTGTTGGGAATTATTCCCAACCCCCATTTGCAAGATCTATGGGTTATCAATACCCGAAAAAGACTTGAAACAATAAATAGGTTATTGGCAAACTGGAGAAGAAGAAACTTGACTCTTATAGGTAAACTTACTGTTATCAAGTCATTGGCTCTCTCAACTCTTGTCCATATTTTTATGGCACTGCCAAACCCCCCAGAAGATTTTATTACAAATTTAAATAAAATTTTGTTTAGTTTTTTATGGAATAATAAACCAGATAAAATTAAAAGGCAAAATCTGAAAAAAAATTATGCTGATGGTGGGCTTAGAATGGTGGACATTAAAATATTTATGGAATCACTAAAATTATCTACTTTAAGAAAGTATTTAAAAAAGAGTACATGTGATAATCCCTCAGTTTTTTCTTTCACTGATATGATAAATTTAGGAGTCAATGCTGATAAATATTTTTGTGTGAAAAACCCTTTTTGGAGAGATGTTTTAAATGTTTGGGGAAATTACGGCAGAAAATTTACAACAAATTCAGAAAGGATCTCCGAAATTCTATCACAGCCCCTATGGCTAAATCACCAATTTAAACATGAAAACTACATAATTAAAAATTGGTTTAAAAAGGGTATAGTGACAATTAAGGACTTATGTAATGAGAATGGATTTTTGCCATTTGAAATATTAAAAGTACGTTATGATATACAGGGTACAATATTAGATTATAATAAGGTTAAACTTAGTATACCTAAAGAATGGAGAGACACCGTCAATCATTATATCAAAATACCAATATATGACTTATATCTTAGTCCACAATTGAGGGATATATTTATACTCGTTCAAGGATCTAGGTACTTTTATGATAGACTAATTACAATAACAAAACCACCCTTAGTAAATGGAAAATGGCAATCTCTTTTTGATAATGATATTCAATGGAAAGAAGTTTATTCAAATTTCAGAAAATGTACTAAAGATACTAAATTGATTGACTTTCAGTTTAAGTTTATCCACAGAATAATTTACACCAAAAAGGAATTATTAAAAATGAAACTAGTTGATAATGATATTTGCTCCTTTTGAGACTTAAATGGCGAAAACCTTATACATGTATATTGGGAATGTGAATATGTTAAACACTTTTGGAGCAAACTGGAAACCTTTTTAAACCTTGACACAAATACTAGGATCTCACTTATACTCAGGATACTCAGTTATTTTTTTCGATTCGAAAAAAATAAACTTTTACTTAATCATATTATAATATCCAGTAAAAGATATATATATATATATATATCAAGTATTAAGGGTGAGAAACCAATTTTTGATAATTTTAGGAAAATACTAAAAGAGACAGCGATGATTGAAAAATTCATTGCCACCAAAAACAATGGTCTATTACAATTTGAACGAAAATGGGGAAAAATCCTACACGAATTAATATAATAATCATGCCCTGTACAATAAGGCTATAGATCAGCTATGCCTCAAATAGCAATACTACCATAATTGTTTTAGTTATATCTGACTATCGATACAACTTTTCATGCTCTTCTTGAGGCATATCATGTGTGTGTGTGTGTGCGTGTGTGTGTGTATGTGCGTGTGCGTGTGCGTGTGCGTGTGCGTGTTTCAATTATGCATGCTATATTTATATCACAAGAAATGTACATCTATGTAACGTATTTTCACTACAATTGACTAAACCTACTGTGTAACCTCTGAGCCTGATGTACAACTCTTCGAAAGGAATAAAAAATGTCCAAAAAAAAGAAAAGACTTGTCACTTATTGAACATCTGTGGGACGTGCTGGATCGCCGTGTCCGTCAACATCAACCACCGCCACAGATACTTCAGGAATAGTTTGTTGCGTCCATGGGCAATCGCCGCCATGAGGTGATAGCAGCTCGAGGAGGCCATAATCGTTACTGACTTTCCACGTTTTTGAAGAGTATATATAATGTTCCCTATCTTTTTGGGGAAGAGTTCAGTTTGAGTCTCACAGAGTGTATTTTAAAGGAAAAACATATCTGTGCATCACTGACTATCATGGGAAATAAATTAACGCAAACTAAGATCGATTTTGCAGTAAAACTTTATAGTGATGTACATGTAATATGAATCAATTATGATAGTGACACCACCATAAATGTCCTATGTAAATGTCATCTCATGGGGTAATTAGCTCACAAGTCTGTATAGTGTATGACCATCATTGGCAGTGACACAAGCTTGCCTCATTATCGACAAGTCAATATCTGGACCAAGGCCTGTCGTAGCTGGACCAAAGTCACCTGTTGGTTTGGAGGTCGGCGTAAACAACGTTTAATTTCACCCCACACATGTTTTGTGGGTGACGGATCTTGTGAAGCAACATGCAAAGGGAGTATGGGGGGTGTTCTGTAATCCAATGAAGGCCACACGTACAACGTAAAAGCGTGCATTGTCCTGATATAAAGTGAAGTAACGTCCAAAGGTATGAAGGATCTGGAGGACGTGAGAATGGATAACTTCGTCAGGGTAGCATTCACCTGTCAAATTTGCCATCGATGACCACCAGAGGGGTTCCGAGGGGTGCAGTGCTACTTCACCATAGAATTACGCTCCCACCACCAAATGCAGAATGTTGAACATCACACGCGTCAGCGTATCATTACATCCGACGTCGATAAACACTACTGTCAAGATGAAACCTGTGAAGGGGACTATCATTTAAACCTGTGAAGATGACTAACATATATAGTCCTGTAACCTAAATCACAGGTGCTGTCTTGAATATGCCACGCGTTCAATTCGATGACGTAGCAGAAAAACTAGATAGCAACACCAGACGTACAGCTTGACGTCGTGGTGGGATGTTATTCTCTCGCGATCAATTTCTCTCAGTCCTTAAACAAATCGGACGTAAGCCAGGGATACTGCGGGCTGTCAAAGTTGCAGTCTGAAACCGATTTCACGGGTGAAATCATCACGGACATCATCATCTTACCGACCTGACGTTACTAGTGGACGTCCAGAACGTGGTCAGTCCGTGGTGTTGCCAGTCTGGTACGGGGGCTGGCTGAAAAGTTCTAAGCCTAACCGTGAAAGACCCGTACCAAGTCGATGGTTATCATTTCTTTGTCCTTCCACGTTTACACACTTTTGCCAGCGATGCTGCAAGGCCTGGATGCCGGCCGTGAAATTTTCTTCAGCCACCCTAAAAAAGTCATTCACAGCGGAAATGACGTTATCATTACTAGGAAAATGGCGACCGGCTAGTTCCTTTTTCATTTTGGGAAACAGGTGGAAGTCTGACGGGGCCAAATCGGGTGAATAAGGGGGATGGTCCATGAGTTCGAAGCCACAATCATGGATCGCTGACATGGCAACCACCGATTTGTGAACAGGAGCATTGTCTTGGTGGAACAGGACTCCTTTAGTGGGCATTCCCCGTCACTTAGCTTTGATAGCTTCACGCAACTGTCTCAGTAGGTCAGCTTAATATCTTCCATTGATAGTCTGGCCTTTTTCGAGATAGTCAATCAGCAGAATACCCTTGGAATCCCAAAAAGACTGAAGCCATCACCTTTCCAGAAGAAGGAACCGACTTGGTTTTGGGGGGGTCTGGTGATTCAGGATGCTTCCATTGTTTACACTGAATTTTGGTTTCTGGTTGAAAGTGATGAATCCAGGTCTCATCCATGGTTACAAATCGGGCCAAAAAATCATCGGGATCTGTTTCAAACAGCATAAATTGTCATGGGTCGTCAGGAATCTGACACGTTTCTGATCCGCTGTCATGAGCTTTGGCACCCATCTTGAAGAAACTTTGTCAGTCCCAACTCGTTGGTGATAATGTGCTCAACCCTCTCATGAGAGATGCCCAAAGCACTGGCAATATGTCGAGTGGTCAATCGTCGATCAGCCATCACAATGTCATGCACCCGGGTAATGTTTTCCGGAATGGTTGCTGTTGAAGGCCTTCCTGGCCGCGGGTCATCGTCAAGGCTCTCTCTGCCACGCTTGAATTCCGCAGCCCACTTCTTTACAGTGGAAAAGGAAGGGGCATCATCCCCTAAAGTGGAGACCATGTCAGCATGTATCTGTGTTGGTGTTAGCCCTTTCAGTTGCAGGTACTTGATGACTGCCCTAAAGCCAGTTTTGTCCATTTCTGGTGATTTCAATGGGTAGGTTCACAAGATGGTCTGGTTCAAAGACAATAATAACACTACAGTTGCAGTTCTTATATCTATGATTAATTAAATGATTGGACTTGGTGGTGGCAAAAGTTTGTTTCAATCCGACTGAGATATCCCACTTAGGCTTAGAACTTTTCAGCCAGTCCTCGTACCGTACCTCGTATGGCGTTACGATGAACACCAAAACTCCGAACGACAACGTTTTCTGAAATTCCGGTTTCAAGCATCAATGGGATGCACATGGGTAATCAGGACAAAGTGTTTATACATACATTGGTTTACCATGATTCTGAAAAAAATCATGACAATTTTATTTCAATGATATTTTTTTGGTGCATATGATTTAATTCGCGAAGTGTAAATTGAACTATCGCTGAATTCGTTGTCTAGGCAGTGTGGTCTCTAAACATCGATGTAATACTGCGGCAAATCATTTGATGGACAACTAAAAACAGACGCTCTATACGCTGTATTATCTGTCATCAGGAATATTCCCTTCCCACTTTCGTACACGTCGAGTGCATTTCGTGCTTTTTGTACACACGTACAGCTGAGCAGGAACACAGGTAAAGAAAACAATAAACTTCAGGATATTTAACATCAAGATTCATTGTTTTATTAACGAGAAATGTCACACTAAATGTTAGTGAAGTTGCAATTTAAACGTGTAATTCATGTTACTGTCTAGTGGAGAGGGTTGTGATTAAAGGTGACCTACCTGGACACACTGGCCTCGAGTTGCAGGACTTCTGGCACTGACAGTTGATAAGTGCACTGAGCCAACACTCACCTACAGCAGCTTCGGCATCACAGTACTGGTTTGCCTTAAAGTTGATACATTGACTACATCCTGAGGAAAAGAAAACTTTTGTATCTTTTTTGCCATTGTGCTGACATTCACAAATTGTATAAAAAACATCAACGTTTGAAATAACCAATATTTGAATATCTCACTTTGACAGGTATCATAAATATATACGCATGACTATATATGCACACGTACCTCTTCCAATCAGGTTCCACAGCCCTAACGCCGCTAAGAGTCGGACCAAGACCATCGTGTGTCACACCCTCATGTGAAGTGAACGTTCTGCATAGGGAAGAATGACTTGCTCACGCTCTCTGTGACATAAACATCGACATGATTGCATTATGCCGCCAGTGAAATGTGTAAATGCCGATAAAGGTGCTAATTTACTATGACAGTGACATCCTGGATATGTGTAGATCGTAATTGCACAGATATCGGATTGATTCCGAATGTGTTTATGGGTGTAATGGAATAGCTACACCGACTTCTTTCTTATCTGACACAAAGATACGGTTGCTTGGCTCTAAGGTGTAAACGTATCATATATAGCTGTTAGTGCCATTCGCTTGGAAGAGCACTGGAGCTATTTCCTCCAGTGTCTAGGATAATGATCACAATTAACATTGCAGGGATTAGGTACTATTCTGCATCGATTGGGATCTGTTGACAGGACGTCATAATGCACAGAGCGGAAAATAGTCATAATTAGAATCAAAGGAATATATTGATCGCAGCAATGAAAATCCTTCCTCGGGAAGTTCTAATCACATTGGATGACGAAACACTTACATGGTTCGCCTTTCACTGCTCTAGAGCAATAGACTGTTAAAAAACCACACCGAGAACTCTGGTCTGCATGACTGCAACAATCAGCGTTCTATAAACTGGAAATTGACATGCCTGTAAACAATTTCATTAAACACTCAACTTTGGGCTGTCACATGTAGCTATTATCAACTGTGATTTTGATTGATAGTTATTGTGTTATTTAATCGGTACTTTCTGGGAAGCTGTCCCGTGTTGTCTTATAGTAATAAATATGTATGCATTTGTTAAATGCCACAACACTATAATTATCATTATCGATGTCGAGCTACAATTCAAACTCATAATAATTTGATTCTTCTTATAATATCCCGCATATCATGTGAACTTCGCCGGTCACGAGGACTCGGTAAATGTTAAATGCTACATATTAGCTGCTGTACATGCCACTTAGTTTAAATGTCTGAACATCATTTGCCTGACAACTTAACCACCAGAAGGATGCAGGGCGTCCGCTTACGGAAGTGCTGTAACTGTCAATGGAAGAATTGGAGATTGTATGTAACTGGAGGTGCTAAGGTGGTTCTGAAGTAAGGTTCAGATACTTATTGACTGAAATAGTATTGAAAATATAAATGATTAGCTCTGTTAGACCTGTATCTCTTTCTGTGTTCCAACATGCAACAGCCACGCATGTCTTTACTGGGTTTATGTATGGCCAATTTTTTTCCAAATCAAGATTTGTTTCATGTGTTTAATTCCTGTTCATTTCCTGTTAAGCGTCAAATATAGTATTAAAGATTCATATGCGCATGAAATTTGAAAAAAAATATTATACGTACACTAACCATCGCTATGTATATTCATAATAGTTACAAAGCTGCGTGGAAATTTAGCTATGATGCGCCAAAATGTTGCGTACTGATGTCTTACTAGTGTCGAGAGTTGTCGCGTTTGTCCACTATCGGTGACCTATATAAAATGAAAATCTGCAACAGGTAGAACAGGATGTGAAGTATGGGTGTGTAGATTTACGCTGAATACAGCAACATTCAGGCAATATGACGCAGGGAATGCGATCTTCTTTCATTTTTTCATCAACTTTGTTGTTGGTGCAGTACCCAGAACACTACTAACACAGGCATGTGCTAATATTTTTGATATCTTTGTATCGTTGAGCCGTATGATTGCCCTGGATATGAACCAAACCTGTCCTGCCATGATGAGAGATAGCCGCCCACATCATAACGCTACCCCAACCAAACCTGCTCACTTCCTGTATGCAGTTTCCGGGGTAACGTTCTCCCTGACGTCTGTAGACCAGTGCTCTTCCATCCCCTCGACGGAGGAGAAATCTTGATTCGTCGCTGACGACATCTCTCCATCGCAGTTGAGGCTATATCCTGTGTTGGCGATAACAATGCAGTCGTTGTTGACGATGTTATCGGCTCAATATTGAAAACCCTGGCTACAGCTGATCGGAATTCCCCAACCTGCAAGCGGCCTATGACGTTGTTTCTTTGCACTTCTGTTAATCTTTGATGTTGTTGAACTGTCACTGTTCGATTGACGCAGATGCTAGGCAATTAAAAACCCTGCACTTTTACTTTTCCCTTTCAAAAACCCTGCACTACCGTTCATAGTGCTGCTGCACGTGCAGTTCGTGCAGCTCCATGGCCCTTTTGTTAAATGTACTGGGTGCGTTTTTTCGAATCATGCGTGTTTCCCGACTAATGGTTTGCATGTCCTTGTTGTGATCATTTTGATCCGGGACATTTGTCACTGACACTATAACACATTTTCTCTTCATTTTGCACCTCTTGGTCCGCAAATTGTGGTTTTATGGCCAAAAATATCCCTTTTGCGTTTCTTTTTTTAAAGAGTATATATTTAACAATGACTACATAACATGAAGACATATTATGTCCACGCCTCTATAAGCGCCTGTATTAATCAGTACAGATCGGAAGGTCTTATTACGTTAAAAAACGTAGACGTTGCAATAACAAATCCATTAACTAATGAGACGATTACAGGTGTTTAATCGTGCCTGAAACTCAGCCCCTTAGTGGACACACAATCATTAAGCACTCAATCTAAAGTTGACGATTTGTTTGATTTTCATTTCTCAAACACAATCAGATAGATTTCTGTTTGCGGTGTTAGTAAGTGTACATATTTGTCTTTAGCAATTACCAGCAACAATGACGGCACTCAGCGGCATTACTACAGTTTGGGAGGGAGCATTTGTCATGGACTCTCAGATACAAGGGCACAGGGAAACAAGTCACCGAGTAGCATGCGTCTATGAACTGAAAATCCGCTTCCTGATTTCAAAGAAAAACAAAGATTAAAAGGTTTTTGGCTCTTGCGGATTGCACACATATTCGGTTGCAACTATTGTAACCAGTCGCGTTGTCGCACTTGATTGATTATATTATATTCTGCTTGGTTTGGCTCGTTTTACTTGTAATATGTGCCCGTAATGTGTGTATCTTATTCATATGCATGCAAAGCGTGACACAAAACACAACCATGGTCTTATTATTTCCTAAAGATTCTACATAAACCTTGGGGCCAGCTGCTCGTTTATGGGAAAGTCGATGCCTCCACGTAACTAACGTCAGTATACATCTTTTATGGAACAGCGATATAGGATTGATTAGAATAATGTCGTTTAAAGACAACAAAGTGCCCAAAGGTGTAATGCCATATGAGTGAAATTATCCTCCCAGTTCATTGCTGCGATTGCTAGGGCTAATCGCATAAGCTATTTATGGGTCGTGGATATACCTGTTGTGTGATTCACTAAACACGGGTAGCTGCATGACAACAGTTAGCAAATGAATATCTAAAGCTGAAATGCAAGTGAGAAGTCATTCGGCAGAATTTATGCTCACTTCACTTTACATTATAAAACAAGCCGCATTAACCCCTGTGAAGAGAACAGTTTCATACGGTGCCTCGTGTCATTATGGTGTAGGGAATTCCTACACAATGACATTTTTGTAGTATAGTAGATACCGCTACATATGTGGAGGACATGATATCTCATAGGCCAAGTGTCCACCTAAAATATTCAATTCAATGAATTATTCTCTTCCAACCACCCCTAAGATAAATACAAACGACATTATGACGGGGATTGTTGTCAATCATTCACAGAGTTATGTAAAAATAATGTTTCAAAACGTAGGGATTTGTTTCAAATCACTTACCTATTCAGCACACATTAACTTCCTGTAAGAATGCGTATTGCAACATTTATGAAAATGACTACAACGAGAAGTAACACCTACTTAATGGAGCTCATCAGCGAACGATTGCGATTTGCACAGATGACAAATTCTAATTTCACTTGCTTTATGTTACATTTGTGACGCCATATTGTTTAAGAAATGGAGAATTGCTGAAGCTATCAGTATCTAGATTCTAATACTCTTGGATTATTAGAATCGGATTCGAATACAAAATCTTTGAAAAACGACAAAACAGCTAAACAATAGGAAAAAAACCCAACCTTCAATGACTGAAAGTGATTTTAATGTAGGCATATTTACTCATGATTACATTTTAATGCATATTCACATTTATGGTAATGTTCAGTTTTTCAATATATACTGAATCGCAAAAGAAACGTCACCATGGATAGATATATGAGAAACGTCATTTGTCAAAACACTGTAAACATACAGATGAAACTTGGCAAAACTGATCATCAAGGTTGAAATTAAAGTGTCAAATGATCTTAAAGTGAAACACAACACTAGTCTCTGAGAAAATGACATCACAAGTCAGTATCTCGTGCGTCGGCCATGTGCATTGATGACTGCCGTGCAACGTCGATACATGGAATGGAAGAGGCAGTGATGAAGGCCATAGGAAAATGAGCCCACACTAGTTCAGCTGCAGTTGTCGGCCTTGGTCGGACGTCATTCAGCCGTCTTTGAATCTTGTCCCTAAGGTGCTCAGTGGGATTTATATCGGGACTGAGGGCAGGCCACTTAATGGTTCTGATGCCATTCTGCTGGAGGAAGTCTCTTGTTGCTCTCGCAGTGTGGACACGGGCGTTATCATGCTGAAACTCGTGGTTGCGGCGACGTGCCAAATGAGGTATGGCGTGTGGTCTCAAGACTTGATTAATGTACCGAGCTGCTGTGACACCATTGCCTCTCCCTGGACCGATTTTCTGGAAGACCACAGGGACGACCCTCTGTGCAAGACCAATTCCACCCCACACCATGATGCTCGGACCACCCCACGAGTCTCTCTCAACAACACAAGCATCCGAATAACGTACCCCACGGCGTCACCAGACTCTCTCTCTCTCTGCCACCTGCTGTTGAGATACAGTAACGGCTCTCGTCTGAGAAGAGGACTCTTCTCCACTGCTGGTGGCGCCAATGCTGTGTTGCCCACTGAAGACGGTCCCGGCGATGACGTGGTGTCAGAAGGGGTCCTCAGTGTGGCCTATGACAGTGGAGGTGTCTGCTCGTCAGTCGTCGACGCACGGTGTCCGCACTAATGTGTCGCTGGTGTGTCTCGATGGTCTGTCGAGCAGTTTCCGCAGCAGTAACAAAGCGATCTTGAAGATGCTATCGATCCTGACGTCGGGTGGTGACCCTTGGTCTTCCACTACGTGGTCGGTCATCTGTAGTGTTGGTGGTCTGGTACCGTTGCTGCAGCCTGTATATGGTCCTTACGTGGACTTGAAATGCATTGGCTACTTGCCGGGCGGTTTGTCCATCTTGCAATCGTCCAAGGGCTTGGTGTGGCTGATT